GGCCTTCACAAGAACCTCAGAAGAGCCCTGGTGGATCAGACCAGTGAGGGTCCATCTAGTCCAGCCTCCTGTCTCACACAATGGCCAGCCAGTTCCTCTGGAGGGCCAACCACAGGGCAGAGAGGCTGAGGCCTTCACAAGAACCTCAGAAGAGCCCTGGTGGATCAGACCAGTGAGGGTCCATCTAGTCCAGCCTCCTGTCTCACACAGTGGCCAGCCAGTTCCTCTGGAGGGCCAACCACAGGGCAGAGAGGCTGAGGCCTTCACAAGAACCTCAGAAGAGCCCTGGTGGATCAGACCAGTGAGGGTCCATCTAGTCCAGCCTCCTGTCTCACACAATGGCCAGCCAATTCCTCTGGAGGGCCAACAACAGGGCACAGAGGCTGAGGCCTTCACAAGAACCTCAGAAGAGCCCTGGTGGATCAGACCAGTGCGGGTCCATCTAGTCCAGCCTCCTGTCTCACACAGTGGCCAGCCAGTTCCTCTGGAGGGCCAACAACAAAGCATAGAGGCTGAAGCCTTCCCCTGATGTTGCCTCCCGGCTCTGACATTTAGTGCCTCTGAAAGTGGAAGTTCCCCTCAGTCACCATGACCAGTAGCTATTGGTAGACTTCTCCTCCATGAATCTATCTAATCCCCCCTTTAAAGCTGTTTATTCCTGTAAGAACAGTATTGTGTTTTAAAAGTACAATTGCAATCTAATGTTTTCTTTTAAGGTGATAGTTAACAGTTAACAAAGGAAAGGACAATTTATCTGGAAGTACACAGTACAGCCTTTGAACTTGTAGGGCTTCAGTGTATTCAATATATTGAATCATACTAAATATAAGGTGGATTCAGTTGAGTAGCCGTGTTGCTCTGATCTTAGCAACAGAACAAAGTTTGAGTGCAGTGGCCCCTTTAAGACCAACAAAGTTTAATTCTGGGTATAGGTTTTCGTGTGTATTGCACACTTCTGTAGAAAGCTTCTAACCAGAATTAATCTTTGTTGGTCTTAAAGGGGCCGCTGGACTCAAACTTTGCTCTAAACGTAGGGTGGTTTGGGAATGTACTTATTCAATTCATTCATTGATATCCCTGGCCTTTCCCCCTCCAATGGTGATCCCAAGCGGTTCACGTCATTCTCCTCACCTCCATTTCGTCCTCACAACAACCCTGTGAGGCAGGTTAGGGCTGAGAGAGTGATTGACCCAAAGTCACCCAGCGAGCTTCCATGGCACAGGTGGGGATTCGAAACTGGGTCTTCCAGCTACTAGTCTGACTCTTGACCACTAAACTACACCACACCACAGTTGTGAGTCAGCTATGGTTTATAAACGCCCCTTCCTTTCCTTGGATTCTGGCATTCTTCCCTTCAGGAGGCCGCTTGGAACCCAGCTGAGGCCCGACAAAGTCCTGGCAGTAAAGAAGCTGCATTTCTACACCAGCATCATATCCAGTGCTCCCTCTAAGCTGAGTTAGTGTGAGCTAGCTCACAGTTTTTAAGCCTCTGGCTCACAGATTTTTGTCTTCACTCAGGAAGGATGGCTCCAGAGCTAACTTATGCAGTAGCCGAAATCGCTCGCTCACAACTCTAGTGCCAGCAGCTCACAAAGTAGAATTTCTGCTCACAAGACTCCACAGCTTAGAGGGAGCATTGATTCATATCCACACCATATTATCCAGCAGCGCAATTCCAGGTTGGTAGGCAGACCCCAAGAAGGCCTGTGAGTGGTGCACTCTTTACAGAAACATTTTGCACCTTAAGATCACGCCATCTGCCTCAACCTAGATGACACGTGGGACCCCAGACTCTCTCCTAATTGTCCCATTGGCCACAGCTAGTTGTCGTTGTTCAGGTCATCTTCACCTGATTCCGCCTAGAAGGCACAAGAAATTCAGGCCACCACAGGTCCCTTCTCAGTGGCGACTAGTTGCAGAAGGCCGGCCAGCAGGATAGCTAGTAACCCTTTCCGGGTAAGGTATCAGAGTACTACCCTGCCCTGGATGGTCTGAGCTAGCCAGACCTCATCTCATCTCATCTCGGAAGCTAAGCTGGGTCGGCCCTGGCTAGTATTTGGGCGGGAGGCCACCCAGGAAGCCCACGATTGCGACACAGAGACAGGCGACGGCCAAACCACCTCTGAACGTCCGGCCTTGAAAGCCCCTACGGGGTCACCCTAAATTGGCTGCAAAACTTGACAGCACTTTGCACCCCCTCAGACTGCTGCTTTGGAACAAAACAATCTTTAGACCCCGCTGATCCTGGCCAATGTCAGCCCGTCTCTAATTCACCAGTTCTGGGGAAAGAACGACGCCGAGCACAATCTGCATATCCCGCCCCAGTTGACAACCTACACGAGGCGAGATGTGTGTGTGTGTGTGTGTGTAAACGACAAACCCCGTTGATGTTTTTGATGAACCGTCACTGACCACAACATCCTTCGAGAGCTCCTGTCCACATTGGCCAAGGGAGGCAATACTTTGCCAAGATTAAGAACATAAGAACATAAGAGAAGCCAATGTTGGATCAGGCCAATGGCCCATCTAGTCCAACACTCTGTGTCACACAGTGGCCAAAAATACCAGGTGCCACCAGGAGGTCCAGCAGTGGGGACAGGACACTAGAAGCCCCCCCCCTGTTGCCCCCCCCCCCCGCAAGCACCAAGGATACAGAGCATCACTGCCCCAGACATAAGAACATAAGAGAAGCCAATGTTGGATCAGGCCAATGGCCCATCTAGTCCAACACTCTGTGTCACACTGTGGCCAGAAATACCAGGTGCCACCAGGAGGTCCAGCAGTGGGGCCAGGACACTAGAAGCCCTCCCACTGTTGTCCCCCCCCCAGCACCAAGAATACAGAGCATCCCTTGCCCCAGACTGAGAGTCCCTATCTATACCTTGTGGCTAATAGCCACCGATGGACCTCTGCTCCATATGTTTATCTAATTCCCTCTTGAAGCCATCCATGCTTGTAGCCGCCACCAAGTGTTAATCACTCTTTGGGTGAAAAAGGACTTCCTTTTATCCGTTCTAACCCAACCGCTCAGCAATTTCATGGAGTGCCCACGAGTTCTTGTCTTGTGAGAAAGGGAGCAAAGGACTTCTTTCTCTACCTGCTCTATCCCATGCATAATCTTATAAACCTCGATCATGTCACCCATCAGCCATCGTTTCTCCAAGCTAATGTTCTGCTTCTTTCTGGAGGACAGACTCCAAAAGACTTTCTCTCTCCTGTAGGGTTCAGTTGTTTTAAACAGCTGAGCAGAACATTAGTAAATCCGAGAGAAGACCACACAAGCATTTTTCAAGAACAAATGAAGTGGGAGCCCTGGATTAATTATTTCCCTCTTTTTAGAGGACACACCTTCTCTGTTTTTTGGCGCCTGTCCTCTTTTGGGCTCTTTTTAAAAAACTGATGAAGATGTCCTCTTTTTGGGTTGGAAGGTTAAGAAGAAGAGAAGAGAAGAAGAGATTCAATTTATACCCCCACCCTTCACTCGGAGTCTCAGAGCGGCTTACAAACTCCTCTCCCTTCCCCTCCCCACAACAGCCACCCTGTGAGGTAGGTGGGGCTGGGAGAGCTCTTTCTAGAACTGTCCTTGAGAGAACAGCTCTGACAAAACTATGGCTTGCCCAAGGTCATCCAGCAGCCGCAAGTGGAGGCGTGGGGAATCAAACCCGGTTCTCCCAGATGAGAGTCCACACACTTAACCACTACACCAAACTTGCTCTTAAGAATATCCCTAGTCAGTAGCAATTATCACAGCTTAAATAGGAGGGGTTACTCAAAATGAGACTTGTCATAGTGATCATTTGTTTGAAGTAGTCGGACGGGAAATATGTCCTCTTTTATTTTTCAAAGTATGAGAACCCTAATTAAGTACATTTGTTAAACAGATAATGTAAGATGCATCGATTTATACTATGTATGGGTGTGAAAGCTGGACAAGGAAGAAAGTGGATGACTTTGAAATGTGGTGTTGGAGGAGAGTTTTACGGATTGTGGCACCCCCAACATACTTCAAAGGAAGACTCTCAAATGTCGGAAAGAAAACACCAAAGACACTAAGCTATGGAAATACAAGAGGATGAACCTAACAACTTCTACAGCTTCTTCTCAAGTGACTGCCAAAACCATTGCATGTATCTTTAAATAGGTATGCTTTATTAAAGGACATTTACAACACATTTTAAGATGGCGCTCTCTTCAGTAGAAAGAACCCAAACTTACATCTTGATGAGTCTCTTTATCCACATCAACAGCATACGAAAAGGACAGGTTTTCCCAAGCGATGTAGTTTTTCTCAAGTTTAGGAAAAGAACAAGAAGGCCCTTGCGTCTGGATTCAAGCACCTCCTTGAATGGTACCACGTGTCCATGTGACAGACCGTGACGGAGCCTAGAGCCCTGCGACTGGCTTGCAGAAGGGTCACGCACTAGGAGGCACAGACTACAGCCAGGGTAATGGCTATCATCTCCGTAGTCTGCTGAACACAGGTCAGCTTGTAACAAATTTACACACTATTTTGCTGCTGTTGTCTTCTTGGCCTTCTAAACCGTCTGCAGTGTTCATCAAGGATTTACGCTCGTTCTCACCGGCTTCAGCCCTGCCAGTCAACACAACTGCTCAGCACTTTCTATGTTACATTTCTCTGGGCTCTCCTCTACCTGTAGGAAAAATCCGGTATGAGAATAAATGACAACTCCTTGGCTTCTCCCCCTTCACAATATGCCACCTCGGGTTCTTGGGAGCTAACGGAATGCTTAAACAATGGATCTGGTACACGGCTCTTCAAGCTGACAGAGCTTGGACACACCTCTACCCAGCAGTAGGGAATCATAGCCAAAACGTTTTGCCAGCAAACTATCTTTACACTCTAGGTAAAGGTTTCCCTTGCTTGAAAGCCAGTCAAATCCGACTCTAGGGTTGCAGTGCTCATCTCCGTTTCCAAGCCGAAGAGCCAGAGTTGTCCGAAGACGTTTCCGTGGTCATGTGGCCGGCATGACTAGACGCCGAGGCGCACGGAATGCTGTTACCTTCCCACCAAAGCGGTAGCTATTTATCTACTTGCAATTTCTTGCTTTCGAACTTCTATGTTGGCAGGAGCTGGAACCAGAGACGGTAGCTCACGCCGTCACATGGCACTCGGGTCTCGAACTGCTGAACTACCGACCTTCCAGCCTGCAGTTCAGCATCTTAACCACTTGAGCCACCAAATCCCCCAAATACTGCAGAGCTTTCACTTGGTTTGCTTTAATCGCCTGCCCTCAGCGCTGCTAGAAGGGAGGTATTTACACAATCCGCACTCTCAACATCTGTGTTCCTGCCAAATGAATGCAGTCGAAACAGTGGAACATGCATTATTATACTGCCTATTGCACAGGGACATTCGTTTCACATATCTCACCCCCTGTTCCATCTAAATTCCCAGGAAGATCTGATAAATTCCATACATATCTCCTCCTTGGCGACTGATGTAACAAGACCACCGCTAAAGCGGCCAAATTCGACTTCCGACAAGATGGCTCTCCAGTAAGGAGCCTTCTCATTAGGCTTGGAGATCTTAACTCTCCAGGGGCGTTCGAAAACACTGATGAGAGATAAGATTCGCCTCAAGGGTTGTGAGAGGCCGTTGATAAGTGGTTTTTATCAGAGCTGCCCTGGTCAGATTGGATCTCATCGAGAAATGTGAGTTAATTGGTGGTTGTGTACTGCATGCCTGTACTGATAAGGAGGGTCTGCCAATATCTTGTTTCTTCTCTCCCCCCCCCCTCTTTAATTTTCTTTTCCTTTTGGAAATCTGGGCATTTGACTCTATTTAGCGTTATATATAAGGACGTATATCTGTTTATATAAACACCGCTTAAGAAACAGCGGTGAGCAGCTTTACTTTTGCTTTCACCCGATTGTAATAAAACATTATTCAAGTTAGCTGTTGTAGATTTTCTGGGCTCTATGGCCGTGGTCTTGACCACGTGGTCAAGACCACGGCCATACAACCCGGAAAATCTACAACAACTAATGAACTCTGGTCGTGAAAGCCTCGACAACATATTATTCAAGTTAACTGGACAACTGTATAGCATTTTGAACTAATGAGAAGCCTATAACTGGAGGACGTTTACAACTCAAGATTTACTACTATTACTTTATTCATTAATCTCGCTCTGTAGACTAACGTCTGTCTCCTAACCTTGGGGAAAAGGAGTCAGTCCCCCCCCCCCCAGACTGTGGTTTTTCAAGTATCAGACTTGAGCTGGATCAAAGTTTATTTCTTTTTAATTCCATACTGCTCCTGCTGCATTGGAATCCCTTGAACTTTCATTTTGTTTCGGGAGTAATACAAGCCTTTTTGGGGGGACGAGTTTTATGGAAACTCTGGAGAACCTTTTCTCTCAGCCCATGTTTATTTGGAACTGGATGAATCTGGTTTTTCAATTTATGCAGTGGCCTTTGCTACCACCCTGTGGAATTTACAGCTATCTGCAGTGGAATTTACAACTATTGCTGAACTTGCTTTCAATTTGCTCATATTGGATTTTTTGGACAGAGGCCAAGTGAAGATTTGAACGCCAAGCCCTGAATAAGGCAACAAGAACTCAACACAAGAATCCAAACTCTTTAATAATATTAACAAATTATTAATGTAATACGGTCTATCTCTTTGTAAAATAGTTGTGAATAGGAGGGTAATTAACAAATATTATTTTTTATTAACAGACTAACTTAAGTTAGCATTTCATATCCTATTTAACCCTATTTTCTTAATTTTTAAAAATTTTACAATCTAAGGTTTCTGTAATCCTCTTAATATAAACTATAAATTAGTGTATTTGAAATACAAGTGATAAAGTTCTATTTGATACTGTTCTATTTGATACTGAGTTTTATAGCATAAACTCAGGGCTTAAATTTTAAGCTTAATTTTAATTGTTTTGTTGTGGTGACTGTAATCAAATGAAAACTTTGGAGTAATAAGTTAATGCAAAGTCTTTGTAGAAGATATAGGCATAAAATGGACTTCAACAAGGACCAAGGAAAAGAAAAAGAAGACTGATGAAGAACTTGATCCAGAAATGCCTGAATGGTTGCAGAAACTTCAAGATAACTTGGCTATACAGCTGAACTCAATTACAGGCACACTCTCCTATCAGATGCAACAGTCAGAGGACTGAATGCACCGTAAATTGACTCAGATAGAAAAAGGAATTCAACAACAGATTATACAATTAAAGCAAGAACAAGAAAATACTTCTGATTGTATTAAAAAGGAACTTTCAACTGTGAGACAAGATATATCCACGGGATTGACACAGACTCAAAAAAGATTCAAGAAAACACTGAAAAGATTGTTCATACCCAGAGACAATACAACAAGCCTGAACTTCATCAAGAGGTTCAAGATCATTTACTGGAAAAAGCTAATCAAAAGATCGAAACTTTGGAGGTCCAGAACAGAAGCAGTAATCTTAAATTTCAATCCATTCCAGTGGATTTTGGTAAAGCGGATCTTGAAGAAGACTTTTGTAAGCTGTTACAAGATCACTACAAGACTGAAGAAGGTTCCCTGCATATCGATCAAATATACAGAATTAATCCTAGATTTGCTGTCAGGAATAAACTTCCACGTGATATTTTGGTGTAGTCCACACATAAAAAAAGAAGAGATCTCGTCTTGAACAAAAAGAACTTCTCCTCTCAAAATTCATGAGACGGAAATACAAATTTTCCAAGACTTTCCCTCCACTCTTTTGAAAAAGGGGAGAGATTTTGATTTTTTAAGACAGATATTACAAAAGAAATAAATAAAGTACTGTTGGAAGATTCCATTTGCCCTGGAAGTGCAACTACCAAAAGACAAGATACATATC